GTTAATCCTGGAAGTGAGGATTCTGTTTTGTTCTGTTCTGTTTAATGAGGTCCTGAAAAGGAACACGCGTAAATCAACCTGTAATAAGACACTGACCTGTGAAAGGCACTTAAAGTGCTTAATAATAAAGAAAAGAGTAGGGATAGTTGAAGGTTGCACTGTGAGGGGCAGAATTCAAAGACAAAGAAATGGATAAAGGTCACAAGATAGAAATACTGGAAATTCTGGCTAGGTATTTCCGGAAGGAGACTGCATTGTGAAAGAAATGAACTTCAATATGCATGTTAGAAAAATGCATTAAAGCAGCAAAACACAAATTAAATGTGATCTGCAATGATCTGCTGTAACTGAAGAGAACACTGACTGCCTCCTCAAGTCAGATAAGAAACCAGGGGTCTGTAATTTGGAGCAGAAAAGGGTAAGGGCTGGAGAACTCGCCTAGAAGCCCAGGGAAGAGTGAGTACACAAACAATGCCCACAAGACGTGAAGCCACAGCAAAGTAAAACTTCTTGGCTGTTAAGAAATTAAGTAAGAGGAACGGGGATTTCCCAAGATATATTTCAAGAGGACAGCTATATGTCTAGCATGTAGGACTCAACTAGACCAGAGGCTCCCATTCTGTGGGGGAGTTGGCACCAGGTCAAAAGCAGAAGAAATAGAAGAGCACTGCAGGCGGCTTTCGGGAAAGTTCACTTCATCCCACTTCTCCATCAATCATGCCCCAGTTTGCCCCAACCAAGGTACTGAAGCGGACTTGGCTTAGGAAAAGGCTCCCGAGCCCAAACTTACTCTGCCATCAGTATGTTTCACCTCTACACCTGACCGCCCCTCTACTCCTCTCTCCCCACACAGGCTGCCAACTTCTCCATCCCCATGAGTGGCAGCAGAAGTGACCAGAGGCCTCCTAAATGCCAGTCCAAGGGCTTCTCCTCAGTCGTCATCCAAACGCCCTAAGGTACATGCAGGCCTAAAGCAAAGAGAAAAGTGCTTCTCTTAGGACTTGGCTATGCACGCTTCCAGAAAACACCTTCACAGTTGACCAGTGTTCCCACAGGAAGCCCACCTAGTAAGCAGTGAATTCTCTCAGATGTAGCCACTTGTCTGGATGTACGTGACATAAAATCTCAAAGGGTACTCAAGACTTTGTTTTTAAACAAATAAGGGACCATAGGCCCAACTGGGAAAGGGTCTTAGGAAGTATCACACCTCTCGCTGGAGGCATAGGTGGGACCCGCAAGTGTTAACCAGGACTCCATTACTGCCTCTGTAAGGTCTACACAGCCTGGCAGTGACCTTGAAAATACTTCCTATTTAATGGTCCATAAAACGCCCCTTAGCTTTCTGCAACTTAGATGGCTCCCTCTTCCAACAAGCTCTTAAAGCAGGTATGTGGCAAGGCGGAAGCCCCTACCTCTTCCCAAACCACTTCTTCCTGTTATAAAACCCAGTGATTCCTGAAGTCCCCCTCCTCAGGACAAGAATTCCAACCCCTTTTATAGTATGTTCACCTGGTACGCTGATGGCAGTTCAAATTCAACTTCTACAAAACCAAGCGAGTTATTTCCCCCACTTCGAAAAATCTCTTTCTTCTTTTGTCTTCTCCGTTCACCCACACAAGAAAGCGTCTACTTCCTCCCCACCTACCGCCATTGTCTTGTTTGCTCAAATAACAAATGCTACGACCATAATATCATTCGCCACCACTATTTACTGAGTATCTACTAGGTACCTGGCATACAGCACCTTCAAATCACCTGCAAGTTGATTTTTTTATATGAATGTTTTATGTATCGATAAACACAAGTTCACAAAGATTAAGTAACCTCCCCCAGTCTACTTGAACGGGGCGGGTCTACCACGTGTTCCCTTCACTCCCACCGAATGACAGAAAACATCTAAAAAACATACTAATCCAAAAAGACAAGAGGGAACAACTGTAGACGAGAGCAATGAAACTGGGGTAGGAAGCAAATGTTCCAGTAAATGACAAACTGAAGAGGCAAGGAACCCTAACTGTGGGAGAAGCATCTAGCAATGAGAAAGCCCATTCCTGGGGCAGACTCCAAGAGGCACAGGCCGGAGAGAAGCACGCCGGCACTTGTGGACGCTTACCGAGACAGGCTGGCCGGGCTGGAAGCACAAGGGTTTGTCCTGAAAGGCCGCAGAGCCCACGGCCACCCGCTCCACACCTGGCGGTTCCCTTCTCCACTAAAGAAGCATGTGCAGCAGAAGATGGGGATAAAGGCATAGGGACAGGGGAAGGAGGGTCAAGGGACAGTCCACATGGCAACAGGGGCAGGGCAGGCTCTTCTCAATTTCTGCAGGAACCACCGAAGAGCTGAGTGTCTGCAAGGCACCACGCAGGCCGGCGCCCGAGGGGGTTCACGGTTTCCACGTTAGATCAGACATTCCAGTCGAGGACGCTGCTAGCTTTGCAAAGCTGGGTTTTCCAGGGCTGGTGTGATAAAAATCAAGTACTGCTTGGAGCGCCTGGGTGGCGCAGTCGGTTAAGCGTCCGACTTCAGCCAGGTCACGATCTCGCGGTCGGTGAGTTCGAGCCCCGCGTCAGGTTCTGGGCTGATGGCTCGGAGCCTGGAGCCTGTTTCTGAGTCTGTGTCTCCCTCTCTCTCTGCCCCTCCCCCGTTCATGCTCTGTCTCTCTCTGTCCCAAAAATAAATAAACGTTGAAAAAAAAAATTTTTTTTTTAAATCAAGTACTGCTCAAATATTAATGTGGAACAGGATATGAGGGTGGCAGCTGTTTGCTCCAAAACAACAACTTAGGAAACCTCACTTAAGAATACTAGTACTCAGGGGCGCCTGGGCAGCTCAGGTCATAATCTTGCAGTTTGTGAGTTCGAGCCCTGCGTCGGGCTCTGTGCTGATGGCTCGGAGCCTGGAGGTTGCTTCAGATTCTGTCTCTCCCTCTCTCTCTGCCCCTCCCCCACTTGCTATCTGTTTGTCTCTCTCGCAAAAATAAATTAATATTTAAAAATTGAAATGAGAGGGGCGCCTGGGTTGCTCAGTCAGTTGAGCGTCCGACTTCAGCTCAGGTCATGATCTCACGGTCCGTGAGTTCCAGCCCCGCGTTGGGCTCTGTGCTGACGGCTCCGAGCCTGGAGCCTGTTTCGGATTCTGTGTCTGCCTCTCTCTCTGACCCTCCCCCGTTCATACTCTGTCTCTTTTTGTCTCAAAAATAAATACAAAACGTTAAAAAAAAATTTTTTTAAATTGAAATGAGAATACTAGAACTCATTCCAGATGTTCTGCATTCACCAACGTGTGGTCCTCAAGCAGTTCTTCCACTGTTCTGTTCTGACTTCCGACTAAACCAAGTAGGTATTTTCCAGTATGTCCATCCCATCACAGCGCTGATGAAATACACACGTGTGAAACTGCACAGACCATAGCAGCCGCCTAGCTGCACACGGCGGCCCAATGAGTTCTGACTTTCCTGAACCTGTTACGTCATTTCAACACTCCTCTAAGTGTTCTACACAGCGAGTTCTGGAAAGAAATCTATAAGGCTTTTTCCAGGCTTCTCGAACACTGATGATGCAACTACTCTTCCGAAAACTACGTTCTGAAAACCACCTTGGACTCTGTACCCAAAAACCGGGTCCAATTCACAAGAACTTGGAATTAAGACAGTTTAGTTTACATTGAACCGCCAGTTCAGTTTGTTGGCTCACACTGCTCCGCCGTCCCCCACACCTGGATAATGAATGTGGCCATGGAATGAAGACGTCAAGTTGTTCCACGCCGATTCTCCGGCCGCGGCCAAACAACAGAACAGCATGGACTCGTAAGGCACCGGGCCTTAGACGAAAGTGGCATCTGTGTCCAGACTCGCCACCCTGAAATGAGCTGGCTTCGGTGAGGCCGGGATGTGAAACCTCGACTGCCTGTTTCATTTCTATCTTTCTTTCAAAATACGAAGCCATGTGTCTCGCGCGGTCACCTTACTTACGCCCATTTACTTCTGGCTGTCCTCTCTATGTTCACCACAGGCAACAGGATACTAAACCCTGAGTCCGCCGTGGTCACAAATTAACAAACAGTAACGGAAGAATACAGAATGTGGACATACCCAGAGTTCAACTTTCACAACCGTACCATATCAAGATTCACTTTGGGAACCAGATTTCTCTGCCTCCCCCACCCCCAGGCCTCACCTCTCCCAGCAGGAGGCAGCCAGGCCTCCCCCACCTACTTACACAGCCGGGAGTCCCAGACCCCCCTCCCTCAGGCATCCTGACCTTACATCTGCATCACAGTTTTCCAAACTCCCGGAGGCGTTTTATGACTTCACACCCCACCCCCCAAATCCCCGAATAAATGTTCTCTCTTGATGACCTACTTAGTCACAAGCCCTGTTTTCCGGCCCTCGGTTTTGACTAACCAATTTATTACCTAGCTAGCTTTCAAGTGAGACGCATTTCCCAAACACATGCACACTTCTATTTGCCTGATTTCCTCCTGCTGCTTAACTAGCAAATTGCCTGAAGCAGAACTACTTGGAAGCCAATCATTTGATGTCTCCACTCGGGTGTCATATAATCTCACAGAGGTTATAAAGCACAACCATCTCATTTTACGAAGAAAGAAATGGGGTGACCTAGCTTGGGCAGAGCGGCAGGCCAACTACAGATGGAGCAAGACTCGTCGGAGGCTGAATGGATGTTCTTCCTGCACCGATTCCTCTTGACCCTTCCCAGAATAAGACCCCTGCGATCAGGAAAGAACGCGGATCCCGGTGTTAGAGCCCGTGTGATAGCAATCACTTTGAGGTGAACACTTCAGCATCCCCTCTGCCCCACTGGAGACAACTCCTGTTAAGAGGCAGAGAAATATACTAACAAAGAACACACTGTCCAGCAGCACGGAGTCAAAAGCAAAGCTACGCACAAAAGACACATGCTGACTGCATGAATAACACTTTCACAGTGATTCCGAAAAGGAGAGCCCAGCCTGTGTGACTCCTCCTCTCAATCACTTACCCCCAAAGTTCACCCAGTAGTTACATCCACCACCAAAATGAAGAGGTATATACTGAAGGGCCCGGTCTTAGATGGGTGTGGTGAAAATGGCTGGAAGACACCAGAAAGAAAACGATGCAAAAGCCATTTTAAAAAATGTCATCATTCCTTTCTTGATTTCAACGATAAAAACGCACGTATAACTATTGTCTACTAAGGCTAAATCTACGGCAGACTTTTATGCCCAACAAGAATGGCTTCTCGATTGGATTCTTGTAAATATTCACACGCGGTCAACCTAAAAACCTATCAAAAACACATCAACTCTTCCCCATTTCATGTAGGTCCACCCCACGATAAATGCCCTTCAGGTACCTGTGTGTGGGTATGTAGCTATTTTGTTTGGGTTTTTTTTGACACCTAGCCCCACCCTCAGGAGCCTTGTTCTAGGACAAAGTGAGAACCTGCTCTTACGCTCGTGATTAGACTGTAAGCTTCACTGAGTTGGGCACTGCCTACTGCCCTTCATATCACCAGCACCTCCGTATCAGTGCCCGACAGACTGCCCATAAACAGACTGTTCACTGACAATTGCAGTAATACGGAAACCAAACCCCTCAGTCTGTTTCAACAGCTCTGAATTGTTCTCAAGTCCTTTTTGACACTTCTGCCTTAAAAAGAAAAGATTCTGCTATCAGAAATTATTTGCTCACAGGGCGCCTGGGTAGCTCAATCAGTTAAGTGTCGGACTCTTGTTATCAGCTCAGGTCGTGATCTCATGGTTATGAGATAGAGCCCCGTGTAAGATACAACATGGAGCCTGCTCGTGACTCTCTCTTCCTGCCCCTCCCCCGCTTGCATTCTCACTCTCTCTCTTTCAACATAAATAAATAAACGTTTAAAAAAAAGGGGGGGTGGGGGTTGGGGCACTTGGGTGGCTCAGTGGGTTAAGCGTCTCACTCTTGGTTTCGCACTCAGGTTTGTGAGTTTGAGCCCCACATTGGGCTCCGTGATGACAGTGAGAAGCCTGCTTGGGATTCTCTCTCTCTCTCTCTCTCTCTAAAATAAACTTAAAAAAAAAAAAAAAGAATATTTTAAAAAAGGGGGAGGGGGGCACTGGGTGGCTCAGTCGGTTAACCGTTCGATTTCAGCTCAGGTCATGATCTCACGGTTCATAGGTTCGAGCCCTG